TGGCTTCTTCGTATGTCGTAGGTTCGGAAAGTGAACAATAATTAGCATAGGTAGTATAAAAATTGGGTCTTGACAACTTGCTTCTATCTCTTAATTCTCTTCTATTCTCATCTTTTAATTCAAAATTTTCTTCACACTGATAATCTTCATCACTCAAATATTCTTCGGCATTTTCTTCTATTTCTGTAATTTCTTCGCTAGGGTTGTTTTCATCTATATTTTCTGGTACTTCGTGTGTCTCATTTTGTGGTTCGTAATTCTCAGATATCTCAAAATAGAGGGTAAATGTTTCCTTTTTGGGTGAAAATATGTCATTTTCGTTGAAATTAACATTACAGCTGATTTCAATTCTACGTTTCTCTGGATCCCAAAGTCTATAATTGGATGAATGACCGTCATAACCTACCAACAATAATTTTCGGGATTTTGGCTCAAACTTTTTCCGAAACTGATCTGGTATTGCCATGTAAGCGATACTTCCAAAAATGCGGACATGTTTTAACGTAGGCTTACGGCCAAACCACTTCTCGTATGCGGTCATATTATCAATTTGAGTGTTTGCCGTTCTGTTCAGAATATATACCGCGCAATTTACCGCTTCGGACCATAATTCTTGAGAGACGTTCTTGTTGATAAGCATGGTTCTGGCACATTCTGTAATGGTTCTTATTTCTCTTTCCGATCTGCCGTTTTGTTGAGGTGTATAGGCTGCTGAATATTCGGGTGAAATACCTGCTTTCTGTAAAAAGTCTTTAAATGATTTATTTATGTATTCACCGCCTTGACGCTTTTGAAAACTTTCATTTTGTTACCGGTTTGATTCTCTACAAGTGTCTTGTATTCTACAAATTTACTTAAGACCTCTGATTTGTGTTTGAGAAAATAAACCATGCGGTAACCGCTACAATCATCCTTGAATAGTACAAAATATTTTGAACCGCTAGGCGAGGGAATATTCATAGGCCCACAGACATCACTGTGTATCATAAAACCGGGCTTTTCAGCTCTTTTTACAGACAGATTTTTATGAGGTACTTTTGACTGTTTACCAAACTGGCAACTTTCACAGAAAAACGGCTCTTTTTCTGTGATTTTTAAATCGGATACTAGCTCAGAAGTTTTCTTGATGTAATGACAATTAACATGACCGAGACGCTCGTGCCAAAGTTTTAATGAATTGTTAATTGTACTTACATGACATTCCTGTTGAGGCTTCACTCTAAATTTCATGATCCATGGATTGTTTTTTCTGTATCCAACACAAACAACTTTTTTTTGGCTATCGCGGAACTCACAATGATTTTTGTATGAATGATATGTAAAATGTTTGTCTGTCATTGCTCCCACCGAAAATAAATTCCTGCTGAGCTCTGAAATATACAAAACATCTGTCATTGTTTTGTTTTGCCACTGGTTGTTTGCGAAGACTTGAATTTCTACAGTGCCTCTTCCAGCAACAGTTATTAATTTATCATTTGCTATTCGGACAAATATTGGTTCATTTACCTCTTGTAAATTGGTAAATAAATTTCTTTCGCTGCTCATATGAACGCTGGCACCTGAGTCACAAATCCATTCAGCTTTTTCGACATCGGAGCTTGCAGTATACAAAGAAGAAATATCACAAATAAATGCGGAGCTTGACGAACTTGAAGGCGAATTTGAGGTCGAAGACCTGTCATTTTTCTTAAGATTTGCCAATCTTTTGCGGCATTCTCTGATCCAATGACCTTTCTTTTTACAATAATTGCAAATCGAGTTTTTCTTCAAATCGTTGATATTTTTCTTCTTATTGTGATTATTTTTATTTACAGTAACAGATTCTAATTTGCTTTGTAGAGCTTTGACTTCGAGTGCAAGACGAGACATTTCGGAATCGTCATGAGACATGCGGCTTTCTTCTTTTAATAAACGAGCAGAAAGATTCTCAAACGTTTGTTGGTTACTGGCTACGGAATCCCAAGCAGTTCTGAATGCATTGAATCTAGATGGTAAACTGTTTATAACCTTCGAACAGATAGCGCTAGGGCTTATAGTTTCTTTGACGTCTTTTAGCTGTCGTACTAAAAGTTCAATAGCTGAAATGTGTTCGGCAATATTTCCATTGTCTGGCATTTTATATTCATAAAACTTTTGCCATAGTAGCTCTCGTGATATTTCTGTTTTCTGTTCATGAATGGAAATCAGCCTATTCCACATTTTTGTTGCGCATCGCAGCTAATGAGATGTTGCATTTGTTCCTGGCATATTGTTGATAACAAAATTACCTGCGCCTTGGTGTTTTTTGTGTCCCAAGCTTCCCACTCGGCACTAGTTTCATCATCTGGTTCCTTCGTGGTTCCATCAACAATTTTCATAAGTTTTTCAGCTTTTAATAGGATTGTTATGCCGAACTTCCAAAGCTGAAAGTTTGTACCATCGAATTTCGGAATGCTGCACGTATCAATTTTCACAGAACTTGCCATTTTCACAATCTTTATTTGTTTTACGACTTGAACGTAATTTCTCGGAAATAAAAATCACTCACTACTTGAACGCGATTTAAAATGACGAAAGTTAATGTTTTAGACTCGCACGTGAACTGGGACCGTAACCTATTAGATGAACCTATTGAGGTTTAATAAAACACAGTGAAATGAGTCTAACTATAATGAAAAGATACGTGACAAATTCGCGTGACAATGACAATTTTTACAATGACAATACTAATCATTACAGGTTCTATAGGTAATAACTAGGTGAACAGAACTAACTAATTATAGCGGGAGAATAAAACTCAAATACTTCTTCTTAACACCTACCTGGGTAAATTGATTATACAGGGTGTCCCAGCCGAGAGTGACCCATTTTAAATGCTTATAACTTTTAAACCAGGTGAGCTAGCTACCTGCGGTTTGTGCCATTCGATTTCTCTTGGTCTAAAGTTTTTTCCAGTAGGTTTCAAATTTTTTTGAAACTTATACAGGGCGAGTAAAAAAAAAATCCGTTTTTCAACATCGAAATTCTCCACTATTTCTAATGGAACACCCTGTATATCACAACGTCAAAAAAATGATTAATGTTTAAGGTTTCTATGTACCAATAGACATCGTCCCTAAAACTTGAAGTTTTAGCCGAAAAAAAATCAAAATCGAAATCTTGGTATTTTTGCAAACGCATGCAACTTCATGTTGTAGGAAATTGATATCACTATGGCAAACAATTTTTTTAACTGTCTAGTTAGATATTAATTAAGTTGAGATACATTTTCCAAGAAAATTCAACGAGTGCTAAAGTATTTTCCCTGGAACTCATTAAATAAAGATACCCCAACAGTAACAGTTTGGTGTGCAATCTCTATTGAGAAAAAGTACAGACCATTTTCATTGATGAACCAACAATAACAGAAACTGTATACACTCATATGTTCTTTTTCCCATAGTTGAGACAAGAGGTTATCTTGAATGATATCTATTTTCAGCAGGATGATGCCCCCACCTCATTATTCATTAATAGCAAGGGAATCACTAGATATGACATTTGGGGAAAGACGGATAAAGAGAGCTGGCCGCTGGCCTATAGAATGGACACCTATTACTCTCTTGACTTGAGAGTTCTAGACTTTTTTCTCTGGCGTTATGTCAAGGAAAGATGCGGTAATACTTTGCTCGAATAGCCTGGACTCTTAAGTGGAACATTTGTAATGTCATTGAAGCGATTCTCCAGGAAATGTTACACATTTCATTCAACCATTTATTGATCCACAAATGCCTGGAACAGAATGGCTAACATATACATATAGGTATCTACAGCTTTTTGTATAGTTTTATGCAGTTGTTATTAACTTTTTATTAGGCAAAAATAAGGTTGAAGCTTTGAAAATAGGTGTTTGCAAAAATACCAAGATTTCGAATTTGATTTTTTACGGCTAAAACTTCAAGTTTTAAGAACGATGTCTATGGGTACATGGATACCTTAAACATGAATCTATTTTTTGACGTTGCGATATACAGGGCGTTCCATTGAAAATAGTGGAGAATTTCGGTGTTGAAAAACGGATTTTTTTTTACTCGCCCTGGTATAAGTTTTAAAAAAATTTGAAACCTACTAGAAAAAACTTTAGACCAAGAGAAATCGAATGGCACAAACCGCAGGTAGCTAGCTCACCTGGTTTAAAATTTATAAGCATTTAAAATGGGTCAGTCTCGGCTGGGACACCCTGTATTATACAAAAAAGTGAGATAGAGGATTTGTTGGCAAAAGCGAAAATGATATCCTCCCTCAAAGGCGAACTTTTCTTCAAATTTGATTTATTTGTTATCAAATTCGAAGTGTTCAATATTCAAATTACAAATAAGCATACAGGATATTATGCCCAAGAACTATTGATCATTTCGATAAAAAAATACTTCGCAACTGTTGAAACGAAACAAACTTCGCTCGTCTATCAAACCTTCAGACTCGTCACAAAACTATCGTTTTTACTCCTACTAAAACAGTAATATATCTATTTTCAATATTTTGACCAGTTGTCATATCAACCTGGATGATAGCAGCGACTCCTATCTTGGATATTCAGAAAAAAGATCAAATTTTCTAAGGGTAACTATAATCCCCGCACGAAGTTGAGGGATTTAATTTCCTGGGAATTCTGGGGTCGCTACCTCCATTGACTCACCCTGTATATGAAGGTATAACGGGGCGCCAAATTTTATTCCGCAGCCAGGTGGCGCAACAGCTAGGAGCGTAGATTTTGGCTATTGCCGAATTAATTTAAAAATGATTATAAGTATCTGTTGATTTATAATTACCACGTGTCCAAATATTGCCGGAAATATTAAAAATCGCGATTTTTTTCAAGGTTCCTATCCATCACCAGATAGGTCAAAATCTATTGTAATTATTGTATAAATTAGATTTTTTTTTTCCCAAATTATGCATATATTACGTTAATAATAGGTAGGTAAATACCTACAAGATTATTGCGATATACCTAGGTATTCAAAAAAATAAAACATTAATTTATTTAAATAAATCTTTCTATTATTTAAAATGTAGGCAAGATAGGTATAAAACATATAAGACTAGAACTATCTCTGTCTTCATAAAAAAGTATAAAATTTTTACAAGTTAATAACTTAATTACATATACCTACAAAGTGCTAACATTTTAATGATTGGCAATACCTATTTTAATAGCAAACAAAAAATAGTACAAATTTCTTTGTCATTCTTTTCTCTTAAATGGCACTAAGTAGCCCAAAATCATAACGTCAAACCTGTTGTTTCCTATTAATTTCTAAACTATTGTAAATCTTCTAGTTTTAATTATTTATCATACATTCACATTCGTTGTATCAAATATTTATAAAAACTTCATCATACATTAGGAATTTATTTCATCCCAAAAAGCTTCATTTTATAGAGTTAGACTACATCTATCCTTCTGATTTATAATTATATTAAACAATTTAATTGCGATCAAATATCACATTTTTATGTACAATTTTAAGTATAGGGTGATCCCATATTGAAATTCCTTGTTTATTTAGTTGAGAGGAATTTCTACATAGTTAGTTCACCCTCCTATAAACTATCTTGATATTATCTAGGTATTATAATTCTGTTGTAGTCTCTATAGGCGAATCATACGAGTATCCCATATTATGCATATGGTTGTAGTCTTTCTTCTCCTTGAACATTACGTTGTCGTTGGTAGGACTGGCGTTCATATTATCTTCTGAAGGCCTAGAATTTCAAATAAGAATTAAAATTTACACATACACAACAATTGTTTGAGTGAAATCTATGTTGTAGTTAACACATAATGTTAATCACAAATGAATGAAGGAAATGGATTACCTGTAAACGTGATCTCTTCTTATATTATTGTTAGTATTTTTAATAAGATGGTTATCACCTACGCTAGATGCTCTTGCAGTTGTTGCAGATTCGCTACTTACAGGACTGGATTTATCTGTAATATTTAGTTTAAATTTCAAGCAATTTTAGTTTCTAACTGGACCTACCATAGTTTTTTATGTTGGTATCCTTGCCAATGTAACTAACATTCTCCAAACTAAACGCGTGATTTTTATTGCTAAAATCAATTTGTAGATCATTGTAATCCTCGTGATCATCAACTTGGACCACCATTTGAAGCACTTGAGTTTCGTATTCCTTAAGATTAGGCTCCACGTAGACCGTATCATATCTAGCAGGACTAGCAGGAACAACGTACTGGCGTGCATTAGCGTACTGGTCTTTATAGGTCTTATATCTAAAATTTATAATGTAAAATCTTGCAGGGGTGTTCACTGAAAAAAAGGCATACCTGGACCATGAAACACAAATATAAATAATCCCAACACTGCCCAACAAAAATATAATACAGGCAATGATTATTAGAGCGTAAGGAAAAACTTCTCCGTTAAAGGAAGCTATAGAAGCACTTCTCACTCTATGGAAAACTAAGGGTTCATGGATATTGAAGGCCGTATTTTTTATTTGGGCTGTTATATCGAATGTTATATTATCCATTGAAGATTTGTCCAAGAGAGATCTAAAAATATAATTTTAAAATTTTCTTTTATTATTATTTATATAGGTTGGTACCAACCGTTTGACAAGTGAATGATTCCTGGGCAAAATTTCATCAGTTTCAGGATCAATTACATAAAACCATACGTCGGTACCCTCTGGATCTACTTCCAAAGTACCATTTCCACCAATAAATTCTCTTGACCCCAATTTTTCAATGCCTTAAATTGAATTTTGATGATTAAATTAGAAACATCATACTTGAACCTTGAACCATCATACCTGGTATTAATCCAGTTTGCTCTTGGATCACCATAACAATATCACCAAGCTTCTTCTGGACATCATTTGGTTTGGCATCTCCAATAACCAATATAAGCCTATGTAGTGGTCTAATAATATTCACAATTAATGGGGTGTCAATTTCAAAAAAATCTTTAGTGGCATTTGGATTATCCCGAGCTACAGCTGTTAATCTAAAGGGCAAATTGTCAGAATTAATGTAGTCAAAGAGTCTTTTTGTTCTTATTATGCCAGTGGATTGGTCGATTGAGAAAAATTCATCACTGAAATTTCCTAAAAAAAATCAAAAGCATATTACATTGGAAAATTTGCTAGGTATAGGTGGATATTTTACCTGCTAAATTATAAACAAGTTTTCCATATTTTCCACTATCTAGATCCTCTGCTTTAATTTGAGTAACTGCACTGTCCAATGGAGAATCAATTGCCACTGCTGCAAAATATTTTTTGTCATTCTTTGCCTCAATATCATTAGACTCCACTTCTTCAAAGGTCTTTTTAGGTAGAACTTCAACGTCAAATGGATAAACAAAGTACGGTTTATTATCGTTAACATCTTGCACATTAACTGTGACTTGGGTAACAGCAAAATCTTTATTGATAAAACCTTGTAAAGACATAATTTCTACATCGAAAACATATTGCTCTTGATTTTCAAAGTCCAAAGATCCGTTCAAGTACAAAGCACAATTTCTATCTTCAGTTACATTTAACGAAAATTTGCCTTCCTTGTTTCCACTGATAATCTGACACTTCAGTGGTATACTAGTTCCGTGAGTTTTTCCATTAACAATAGTCAAAGTTTTAATTTGTTTTCCAACAGTGGCATTTTCTGGAACTTGCAGAGTGTAAGAAGTATCTGCAAATCGTAATCCCACTTCTGGTGCTACAGTTGCTACATGCTGAATAAAAACTTCCACAGTTATAACTGAGGATAGTTGAGGTTCACCCAGATCATAGGCTCGAACATCAACCTAAAAAAATAATTTAATATTTAAACATTCTTTTTTATTCAATAACAAAAATTACTCACTTGATATTCTGTATCAGCTTCTTTTTTCAAATCGTTAGTGACTTTGAGAACTCCACTATCTGGATCGATTTGGAAATATTTGGTAGCCTTTCCACGGCCGATAATTTCGTATCGCACCTAAACAAGATGAAATTGGTAATTTTTATTGTTACATGGACAATTATTTTACCTTATTTCCAGGTGAAGTTCCATCGGAATCAGTTGCAACTAAGGTAGTCACAGTGGTGCCAATAGAAACATCATCCTCCAAACTAATGGGATGAGGAATAATTGTAAACACTGGAGGAATATCGTTGCGGTCTTCTACATCGACTATAACTTTTGTGGTAGAATTTTTCTCATCGGACATGTTTTCCAAAGTACCAATAACCAAAACATGTTGTTGGTCTTTTTCATAATCTAAACCTCTTGTAGTGTAAATTGCTCCAGTTTTTTCATCGATTCTAAATAAATCAGTGGGTCCTTGATTGATCACATATGTGATTTTTTGTACAGTATCTGGATCGTAAGCTTCAACGGAAGTAACAAAATGATCGGCCATGTTTTCAGGCACGAGAGCTTCGTATTTTTCGTCTTTAAAAATTGGTACTTCATCTTCAACGTCTTCTACTTGAACAGCAACTGTGGCTGTAGCAATTCTGGGATCGGGAGCTCCATCTTTGGCTGTAACCACGAATTGGTAGCTCTACAAAATTCAAATTTTTCGAAGCAATTAAAAAAACTAGTTTGAAGAATTACTCTTTGGCTTTCATAATCCAGAGGCCTATTGGTATGAATTTCTCCAGTTTGGTTATCGATATCAAATGGTAATCCAGTTGGCATGAAATAAGTAACTAGAGAATTTATTCCTTCGTCAGCATCTACTGCTTTCACAAATCCTACAGAGGTTCTTTTTAAACCTAAAAAAATAAATATAAAAGCACTATGGAATTTGAATTAATTCCTAAAACTCTTACCTTCTTTAACATTAAATAAATACGGATCACCAACAAATTCTGGGTTCTTATCATTAATATCTGTAACTTTTATATTAACCGTTGCAGTACTAGACAGCTTTCCAGTATCTTCAGCCTTGATAACTAACTGATACCTGTTCAAATCCTCTCTATCCAACATTCTGATAATTGATATCACTCCATTTTTTGCTCCAATAGCAAACTGCCTCAAATCATTGCCAGAGGCTATAGAATAAGTAACTGGATCACGTTCTGGATCTATTGCTACTAATGTGGCAACAGTGGAGTTTATCGTAGCGCCTTCACTGACCTCCAAATCGTATATAGATTGTTCAAAAACGGGAGCTTCAGTATTTGGACCTGGACTGACTGTTACTTCTACGATAGCTTGACTGTAAAGACCTCCTGGATCTTTAGCTTGGACTGTCAAACTGTACTGATCACCAGCGTTTAGTTTTCCCGTAGTAGTAATTTCTCCAGTGTTTTCATCAATAACAAATTTATTGTTTCCATTATTCGATACATGGTAAATTGAATATTCGATTTCGGCATTTTCTCCTTCATCATTATCGGCTGCATGGATGGTGGTTACTTTTCTTTTCACATCACCTAATAACAAAAGTTGATAATTTAGATGTTTCAACGTTTCGGAAAATTTATTTGTGTCCTTAAAACATAGGAATGCTAGATTTACATAGGTATAAGCGCGATATTCAATTTTAGATATAACTTATTCCTAATAGCAATAAAACATACCTGCTGGAACAGACACTGGTGATATAGTAGGTAAAACTGGTGGATTATCATTAACATCCAACAAATAAACGGTAACAGAAGATGGTGCACTCGCAGCCACCCCATTTATTTCCCTTGCGACAATTTGAAATTTAAATTTTCCAGGATTTGGTGGATCTCGGTCCAAGTTGTTTTCGTTAACCACCAAATGGCCATTTTTGTCGATAACAAAATAAGGAGTTGTCAGCTCGAAGGTGTATACTAATTTGGGATCGTCTGCTCCAAAATCTTTGTCTTCAACTTGAACTAATATGGGTTCTCCAGTTTTATCCATCACTTCTTCACCAATTGGTGAATTTTCTTTAACGTAACCATCGCTTGATGATAAAACAATTTCAGGAGGATGAGCATCAACAGGTTTAACTGTTATAAATAATTTAGCCGTTGTGGAACGTTTCGCTTCAGAATCTTCTTGAGCTTTGATGATGATGTTGAATTTTTTGGTAGTAGATGATTCAACGGGCTTTATTTGGTGCACTGCCCCAGTATCTGGATGGATTTTGAAATATTGCGTATACGTTTCTGGAGTGCCACTGACAAAGGAATATTTAATTGGAGAGTTGATCGTGTCCATGTCAACCGCTTGGATTTTTTCCGGGGATATGTTGAGGATGCCTTGGTTTACACCAGCAGAAACCTGGAAAAGATTCAAATTTGAAATAGAACCTAATAAATATTATTAAGGGAATACAGATATGTATTTTATGAAAGTAGGATAAGCAGCATCAGTGAAATATATCACAAATACATCAACCAAATAATAATTATTGATTATTGTATCTCAGATTTTGCTTTGTGATGCGCGTGTATAAACCTCGGGCAATTTAGGGTGAACGTGGAAAGCGGGTATTGAGGCACTGAGCGGATAGTACCACTCACTTGTGTGAACCTCCTACTACTGCATAGATTTGTTTTATTATTTGGTTCCAATATTTGCCAGTTTGCTTGATCTTTCTGAGCATGGTTCTTTTCCACCTAATTGCTGATCTGCCCTTTCGTCGCGCGCCTTCTGAATTCCACTCCATGGCCTATCTCGCGATGTTACACGGGTCTCTTCTTAGAACGTGTCCAACTTCCACGAAGATCTTGATTGGCTCGCTCTTTGTAGCACTTCTTCATTGGTGGTATGAGATGTCCAGTGAATATTTAGAATTTTCCTCGGGCATTTGTTGGCAAAAGAAAGGTCTGCAGCATTTTCTCAATTTATTTTGTGTGTCCCCAAGTTTCACAGGCATAAAGCAGTACTGTTTCTACGTTAGTGTAGTCCGTTTGTCTTCCAATAACATTTGATTTCCAGATGTTCCCAGGCATACCAAATGCTTAATTTGCGTTGGGATACATCTGCTGTAGAGCCGCCTTCTTTGGGGTTTAGGCTTCCGGCTTCATGATAGCAGATTATTCAACATCTATTTTTTCGTGATTGATCTTGAAGGGACTGTTCGTTGTACTATGCACATTAATTTATAGTCCAAGAGCCCAGAGCCGCCAGACACAACTTATTTTCCAAAGGACAGAATATGTGGGAGTGTGTAGCACTTATATGTACTATGAACGTATGTATACCCGCTACGACGGCCAATTCACCGACACCAGGTGCGAAAGCTTAAAAAGTTCTTTAACTTTTTTTCTAACGCTTGATTTTTATACATGTTATTGGGGAGACTATTTCATAACTACGTGTGCTCAGCCAGACCAATCGCACCGGCCAAACATCCCCCAGACACAATAATAATTTTTCCGGGAGTGTAAGTGCGAGGGTACTAATGTCTGCCCAGCGACTCTGTGTCTACGAGGCAACGGTAAGGGGAATGCAGTTGTAAAAAAAAATGGCTGATTTCATTCATAAAATACCCAGCTGCGTTCGGAATTTTTTGGAAGTGTTATCGTATTGCAACTCCTACACGAAAATCGAAAATGACCAAACCCCCGCCACTGGATATTTCAATATAAATCGATATTTCAAGATGGGAGGATACAATGATAGAAGCCCTGGCCAATAGCAAGACGTAAGGTGACGTTTAGCCCATTGACAACGACATGGTTCCTCGTGGCAACGGCCATCCTGCCAAAAACTCCACCAATCAGGTTCATCCAGGCCGGATGCTTGCCAAATTGTCAAAAACTGATGGTATCTTTAGAAAATGTTTATTTTTTACAATGGACAAAATTGAAGAAATCAGTTATTAGAATAAGAATAGATCTAACAACCACGTTGAAATATTTCGCGTTTTATTGGTATCTATATTTTGTTATTAAAAAATGGATTTTCAAATGAACTATACCTCATGCCCAGTATTTTCGCTTTTTTATAATTAAACGTGGCAACATGGCACATTTACGTCCGAATTCCTTCCGTAGACTCAGATCCGCTGGGCAAACAATATGCATGCGTTTGAGAGTGAGCGAGATATCTATGTCAACTGATTTCCCCTTCTTAAACTTACAGTCTACTCCAGGCTAGAGTAGAAATGGGAAAAACCTTTATTCACAAATAACAGTTTCAGCTATTATTATTATTTTCAATTGGCCGTCTACCCAACTTCGCGGGTATACATACGTTAATAGTACCTATAAGTGCTACTCAATCCCACATATTCTGTCCTTTAGAAAATAAGTTGTGTCTGGCGGCTCTGGGCTCTTGGAATATTAGGTTTGTCTACGTTTATTTCTTGTTCCGTTCGTTTTGGAATATGTGCGAGACGGTTCAACTTCTGCTTCATATTCGAATGTATTAGGTGATTCACATCTATCTTAGTTTAGTTTAGGTTGTTTTATTGATGGACTATGCCATTGACGATCATCAGCATAGTCAAGGTCAGTAGCGGCGCTTGGATGCACTAAGCCCCTAAGCTAAGCAAATGTCACAATTAGGCCCCCCTAGGGTTTTATTAATAGCAAATTGTTCAACTAAAAGAGCCAATTAGAAACTGCGGAAGGAGAAATTATGATTATTATCGGCTCTTGAGCTTTGAATTGAAAAATTCTCTTGCTAATCCAGAGTTGATAAAAGTTCAAATTTTGACTTTAACCGGCTCTTGATTGGCTCCAGGAAAGTTTTCCAAAGAAACAAGAGCCGGTACAAATTCAAATTTTGATAATCTGTAGCTCTTGATCCATTAGATCATTTTTCTTAGGCCAATTAGAAGCTGCGGAAGAAGAAGTTTTGATTAATATCAACTAATGATCATTCGAAATTTTGATTATTATCGGCTCTTGAGCTTTGAATGCCCCTAGAAAAATTCTCTTGCGAATCCAGAGTTGATAAAAGTTCAAATTTTGACTATTACCGGCACTTGATTGGCTCAATGAAGTTTTCCAGAGAATTAAGAGCCGATAATAGTTCAAAGCTCTTGAGCTTTGAATGCCCTTAGAAAAATTCTCTTGCGAATCCAGAGTTGATGAAAGTTCAAATTTTGACTATTATAGGTTCTTGATTGGCTCTAGGAAGGTTTGCCAAAGAATCAAGAGCCGGTAATTGTTCAAGTTTTGATTATCTGTGGCTCTTGATCCATTGGATAATTTTTCTTGAGCTAATTAGAAGCTGCGGGAGAAGAAATTTTGTTTAATATCAACTTAAGAGCTACTGTTAATGATCATTCGAAATTTTTATTATTATCGGCTCTTGAGCTTTGAATGTGCTTAGAAAAATTCTCTAGTAAATCCAGAGTTGATAAAAGTTGGAATTTTGATTTTCATGGCTCCTTTATCCATTGGATAATATTTTTGGAGAAACCAATTACTGAATATCCATATTGGATGCTCTGCTATGTCTGATAGACAAAATAAAATAAAAAGATCATGCAATCTATGCTGTAGTGCTGTAGTAGGTACAGATTGAAAATTTCTGGTGAAATTCCCATTAGATGAAAAATATTTTAGATTGTATAGTGGTCGAGGCTCGTCGAAAGTCGATGAAGACAAGGTAGACTGATTGTTGGAGCTCTGAAGTTTGCTCTACCATAATTCTTATTGTGCTTATGTGGTCGACGCATGAGCGTTATGACACAACCAGGTTGGTTGGGTAGCAGTTTTGTTTTTACTAGGTACTGCACTGACTCTCGCCAGCAATATTTGTGCAGCGATCTTGTACATCTGTATTTTCAGTTTCCACATAAGATAACCCTTCTTTGAGAGCTTGATGATAAGTCTCAATTTCCAACTGTCCGGGATACGTTCAAAGCTCCAGACATCTTTCATTAGTGGGTGAATGGCACTGGCAAATATGAGCAGCTGTTTTCCAGAATATCTGCTGGAATGTCGTCGGTTCCCGCAAACTTGATGGATATGGGAAATTGGTGTTCATGCGGCTTCGCCCTACGGTCTATCTGTGATGTCGTTACCTCTACGAGTAGGTCAGTGAAATGTTCTTCCAGTGTTTGTATTATTTGTTGGTCATTTGTTGTGAGAACCACTCTGTTTGCTACCTTCAATGGTCGGTTAGCCTTAAAGGATTTGCTGGCCAGCCTCTTTGTGATAGCTAAAATATCTCGCAGATTATTTGATCGAGCCGGATTTTCTGCCTGATGAACTAGGTAGAGTCTGTCCGTGTTCTTTCATATTTGCGGGCACTTCTTTTTTGCTTTTTGGTTCAGGTCTTGATGTTGTTCTGCCAGATGCTGTCTTCTTTCTTTGGGTTCAGTTGGTTCTTCAGCTGTCGCTTTTGGTCGATGAGAGCCTATGTTTCCTGAGAAAGCCATTTTTTATGTTCTCGTGTCTTCAAACCTAAATGTTCAGGTCGTCGCTCATGTTTCCCTAGTTTTCTGTGTTGTCCTGGTTGGGATCTAAGCGGTTCAGTCTTTGTTGAACTGCCTAACTAAAGTTTTGCCTTATAGCATCTTTTTTCAGTCAATGTTAAATTGACGCCTCCGATTTCGACCATCCAACATGGATTTACGCCAAGACCTTGATATGGCTATATGATCGATTTGGGTTTTGTGTTCTGTGATCTGGTGACATCCACGTTATTTTTGGAATTTTTTGTGAGGAAATAACGTGTCTTCAATAAAAAGGTTGCGTTCTTGGCAAAACTGGGTGAATACCTAGAATTAAATAGCTCCCCATTTTCATTCTTAATGACAAATCCATGAATGCCCATTACATCTTCAAGGTTCAGATTGACGGAACCCATTTTGGAATCGAAGGGAGTTTACTAATGTCTCCATTAGGTGTGTTCATACCGCTCTAGTGAGATCATAGAAAGCTTCCTTTACACCTCTATAGATTTGCCTGCTCTATTGGTGCACGTAACACTGTATGACGGCAAGATTACGGGCTCTGGTGTTGAATGGAACAGTTAGTATTCGATCTGATATTGGTTTCTATTGTAGGAGGCTATGTTTTGCTATTTTGTCTCACTTCCTGTTGGGGCTTGCCTGAGTACAGGAAGAACATCATCTCGAATTCTCTTCCCACTTGGGCCAATCGCCCAATCTTGAGGTTTCCAGCAGTGTTATAATGTTCCATGCTCATATTCGTGTTCTGTGTTTGATGCCAAAATTCGACATGGTGACATCCGTCCAGTTCTTCTTTCTGTTAGATTCTTTTATGATAAGATTTCAGGTTTTAGGTTTTAGGTTTCTCGTGAGTGGTCAGATGTCGACCATTTATGTATTCGGGTCGAACAGCCGACTCCCCGATAACAGCATGCCTGATTCTGGCTATTGCCGGACACCTGTATAGGAGATGTTCTGCAGTTTCGTCTTCTTCCGTGCACAGGCAACACTCGGCACTTTGTGCTATTCCGATCCTGTGCATGTGATAAAGGAGTCTCTAGTGTACAGTGTACTGACTCACCGGTGCTTTGAGTACAAAGGATTTTGCATGGTTCATGCCTGGTAGTCTCGACCAATATTGTTTGGCCTCTGTATTGGCCCAGGTCGAGATTGTGAAGCTAGACGTATTCAGGGCTATTTCCAGTAGTTACTGGCTTCAGTCCAATGAAGTTAGGCTCGGATCCAGCTTTTGCAAGTTAGTCTGCTTTTTCGTTGCCTTCTTGTCCGGTATGTCTCGGTATCCAGACTAGTGAAACGTTGTTCTTTACCCCTAGCTGGGTCAGGGCTTGTTTGAAGTTCCATACTGTTGTCGACATACAATGTATGGATGCCAGTGCTTTCAGTGCAGCTTGACTATCAGAAAATATTTTTCCTACGAGCGTGCGCAAAGTACTACTTTTCCGCACGCATTTTAGTTCTCAAAGTTACACTTTTCTGCACTCAGTGCGGATACAGGCCTTATCCGCACTGAGTGCCGAAAAGTAAAAATAATTGTCAAGCAACAATAGGTGCACCTGTCGACTTTGACACATGATGACAAATTTTTCCTCCGTTTCTATATCAGCCAACATCTATACAAACACCAAATTTAATTAACTTTGACACATTGTCAGATTTGTTCTTTATTTATATGCAAGAATCTACAAACTTTCTCATCAAATTTGAACGCTTTAAGATGAACAGCTCTGACGAGGATTTTCTGTTATTTTTTTTTTGTCATGTAATTTTTTTGATAAATGCATAGGTTCGCTCAAGTTAATTAAAAATAATTGAACAAATTATTTTTTTTTTTTTTTTAATTTTTGTTGTTACCTACCTGATATGAAGCTCGTAGGAAAAATTTTGTTCCTAACACGTGCGCAAAGTGTCTTTTCCGCACGCAAACACTTATCCGAACTCCGCTTCGCGTCGTTCGTATAACTGTGTTTGGGTGCGGAAAAGTAACACTTTGCGCACTTGTTAGGAAAATAACTATTTTCTACGAGCGTGCGGAAAAGTGCACTTTTCCGCACGCATTTTAGTTTGGAAAGTTTCACTTTTCCGGACTAGTGCGGAAAAGTGACAGATGTAACTTTTCAAATTATAAGCTGACACACGAATTATTGAAACAGAAATGTCAATTATTAACTTATTTCGGTTTAATCTTAACTTTTCTTGTCGTGACAAACTAATCGTTACTTTATGCCTGAAAATTTCGAAAATTTCACAGTACCTACCACAAGTACCTACATCAAACGTACAAATTATTGTTAAAAGTTCCCGATTTTATTGTCTTCGAAATAAGGCACGTTATTTCAGAATTAGTTTTTTTTTTAAATTATTAAATCAATAAATTTTCAATACACTTTATTTGAAAGAGTAGGTAACCTAAGAGAAGAAGAAAAAATTACCCAATTTGTTTTTAATATCAAATGTTGCAAAAGAGATGTTGTTAAATATTCGTCTTAAACTAACAATAATTAAGTACGTTCCTTCTATCTCATAGAAAAAATAGTGTTCCTAACTCGTGCGGAAACTCTCTTTTCCTCACTGCAATCGCGTGCAGAAAAGTCGTACTTTCCGCACTAGTTAGGAAATATACTATTTATCGACTTATGCGTTTGTTGCTTTTCCAAGTTTTCCAGCAGCTTTTTCGCGTCAAGCTCGATGGCCAGCAATTCGGCCTGAAATATGGATGTGTTCTTGCCAAGCCTTGGTTTTTCACCATATACCCCTGTTCCGACACCTTGTTTAGTTTTGGAGCCATCTGTGTACATACAGGCAGAAATCTGCCCACAGTAGCTCGGTTCTGTCGCTGGTTCATAGCTGTGTCGTCAAGCACTGTGTGTTGCATTGCGCTTCTTCCCTCCAAAATGCTTTTTGTAGCATAGTACAGCCGATAGGTTGACCTTATTGTTTCCCTCTTCACGTATATCTGAAGTGGATTCAGGTTTATGAGGACTTCCATAGCTGCTGTAGGCGTGGTGCGCAACGCTCCCACTATCGCCAGGCAAGCTATTCTCTGCAATCCGCTAAGTGTGGCTTGAACCGTTTTCTGATTCGCCTTGCCCCACCATACTAGAGAGCCATAGGTTATCATTGGTCTAATAACCATAGTGTAGATCCAGTGACTCTGTTTTGGATTTGTTACCCAGGTCTTTCCACAGATCCTGTGGCAGTTCCAAAGCGATAATTTTCGCATACTTTTTTCAAATGAGCGTTTCAATTTAGGAGTCTTTTCCAGGATGGCTTCCAAACACTTTGCTTCATTTGTGAATAGTACTAACTCTCTCGAATAGTTAGGGGTACCAAGTTATCAAGTTTTTTTTTTCCTGGTGAAGGGTACTATAACCATTTTGTGAGAATTGATTGTGATTTCCTCTCTTTCGCACTAATTAAGCACGCAGTCTAGCACCTCTTGGAGTGCAGCTGAGACCCTCGTCTCAGAACTACCTTTGGCTATTATAACTAGATCGTCCGCATATGCTTGAACCTCGACCCCCCACAATTGTATTACGGCCAGGTCATTCACCAGATTTGAACACAGAAGCGGAGAGAGTACCCCTCCCTGCGGACAACCTTTGGCGGTCCTGAACTTGACCGTTTTCCCCTGTAGAGAAGTCGTTATCACTCTACCGTTCAGCTTGATCCTAATCCAGTTACAAATTAGCGTCTAGATTTTGTTGCCTCGTAAAGAGAGCTTGGCATCGCATTGTTGAAAGCTTCCTCTATGTCCAAGAAGGTGGCAAGTGCAAAGCTCTTACGGTCCAGAGAGCCGTCTATGCTAGCGAGCAGGCTACTAAGAGCCAGCTCTGTGGAGTTTCCAGGTTCCTGCCTGATAGGCGAAATAATAGGTACTAAGCAGGTCCTGGAGCGCCTCCCGCTTAATCCAGCTTCTGGGCCTGTCTCAAATCCAGCTTCAGTCTTCAATCACGCCAAGTTTACAGAGGGTACATAATACAGAGTGGCCTATAAGTAGTACGTCCCTCCGTAGAAGAGACGTCATGATACTATTTCTAGAGTAATATTATTATTATTCAATACATTACCTATCTTATTATACCTATACCAAGCGAGTTTCTCTTTACCTAAACCCCGCCTACGCCCCAGGTCGCGCTCCTGTTGTGACGTCCGAGGACGAAACGTATAGGGGTTGTGACAATATTTCATCCCATAGGAGTTGTAAAATAACTCACCGCAGAAAAAAAATTACAGGTCAACTCATCATCAAGGGTAATAAGAACTTGGTTCACGTTTCTTATCACCTTACATCGATTTCAGAGTATCTACAATATATTGTATTTAAATTAAAAACCCCTGCTAGAATAGAACCGACACCATTCATTTCTTTATTGCTTTACCAACTCTGATGGTGGTCTAAAAATTTTTATTCGAGTTTCAATGGTTATTTGTTTTGCATAGCTACTTAATCTTTCTTCTCATCTTATTTTATTTAAATTCACCTAGTGTACCCTATTCAGATTCAAGATCTGTAAACTATATTATGTATTACGAAAAGAACCTATTATACAAGTGTATTTTCACACCATTTTGCCGCTCTACATATTTCTTTCACATTCTCACACACATTTTTCCAATTTATGTGTTTTTCCTTCTCATGGGCTACATAAAAGGCTTTTGTGTTTGCCGGGCGTTCGCAAAAGAATCAATTTGAGCAGGTGGCTGGGCTGCTATTGACTCGACTAAACTGAAGAATGGTAGCCTGAAGGTAACCTGCTTTTGTCCATTATTTTATTTTATATATGGATCGCTTGCACGATATGGTACAATGGAGTTTGCCACTTTATATGGTTAGGTGTAGGAAGAGATTAATGCTTTTGGTTCCTACTCTGTGTGAATAAATTGTTTATATCGATTTGTAGGTATAAAGCAATTTGCTTTGATTGAATATAATTCAAGTTGAATACTTACAGATGCTGAATATTCAGGATTAATACAAGATCCATCCAATAGCATGCAGCCTTTGTAAATAAAAGATGGTGGTAAATCATCGTCATCTTTTATGTTAACAATTAAAGTTGTGGTTGACGTCAACCTTTGGCTCTCGTCTTTTGCTTTGTCCTGGAAACATATAGACCATTATTATAAACTGCAAAATTTACATACCATATCATTAATTTATTATACCGAAATAATTTATTATTTGTAGATAAATCTCTGCCATTCTTTTGATATTTCTTCAACACCTGTCCTGTGATATGTATATATTTAGATAGTTATGTAATGAAATATTAATATTATCATGATCATTCTTCTTACCTTTGTTAGAAATTAATAAAGTAATTATGCAACGAAAATACATGTCATCAAGTATAATTATCGAGAAAAAATACAATTCTTATCAGATCTTGTTTGTTTTCATTATTAACTTCTTGAGCACAAATTATGAAATATCCTGATAATTATTACAGATAATTAAGTTTTTCATTATTTAATTCTAGTTTCGCTACTCGCTATTCTTTGTCTTATCAGACCATTAATCTTTTTGCCTACCAGTTGCATTTAGTCTTTGTTCTTTCGCTGCCGAAGGTAATAGGTAGTGGTAATTTCGGGCAATCGTATAGGTAGTCTAATTTTGCTTACCGTTGCCAGAATGGTAACATAATAACGTTGGGTTTTTTCAAAATCCAAGGTCCTATTGACAGTAACTTGACCCTGATGAGGGTAGTTGATTGCGAAATATCCATAACCGTCTTCACTGTGGATTCTTTGTCTGCCGATGCCTTCGTCTGCAATAGGGCTTGATCCTAAAATAATGGAAATTACAGTTTGAATGAAAAGTTATTATTTTAAAGTATTAGATATTAATGCATGAGTCCAATATGTTCAGTTCAATTGGTAGCATTTCAAGTTTTCAATTGGGAATGTGTTGTTTGCATTGCATAACCAACATTGGTTCAGAAATTAGAAAAAAAGTCAGTCAGCTAACATTGGAAATGGGGCTCTCAGTGTAACTAACTTTGCATACTGAAACACCTGCTACCAATTACCATTGGAAAAAAAAAACTATCGGTATATTTGATCTTTACATTTCAATATATGAATTGATCACAAATAAAAATAACTTTTCTTACCTTTAATAATTGAATATTCTACTTGTCCATTTACCCCTGTATCTTTGTCTTTGGCATTGATGTTTTGATAAATTGTTGTTCCAATAGGAGTTAACTAAATGATATATGAAGTTAATGAGAATATTTATGTATTTATTCCATTTTACCTCTGATATGCTCGTCTCGTAAGGAATTCCAATAAACTGCGGACTATTATCGTTAATATCAGTCAGTCTTACTATCACAGGAATTGATTTGACTTTATGTGTCGATTTTATTGTACAAATTAACTGAAAGATACAAATAAGAAAAATTTAATGTTGAGAAATAAATAATTTACATAAATATATTGCCTTGAATGTAATTTTCAAATTATATAACCAAATTTATTTGAATGTAATAATTTCCAAAATCCGTAAATCAACTAATTTACCATAAAAATTGTTTACTAATATTTACTTAAGTAACAATTATTAATGCAAATTCGTCTAAATCCAAAACTGGGTTAAGCGTAGTTTTCATTGCAAACAATTGGTATTAAATTTTGCGAACGTGTGATAATTTTGTAATAATCAACTGTACTTATTTATTAACAATATACAATTTACATTTAAGTTACAAGCTGTAGATTTTCATTGAACGCTGAGGAAATTGCGTAATTTTCATTTTAATAAACATGATGATGATTCTTTTTTTTTATTATTTAAATTTTTTCTTTTTGTGCATGAGCTAACGTATTTTAAGTGGTCGTTTTAGCCGGATTGTTTTGTAATGATCAGACATTAGATTTAAATGAATAGGTATGCACAGGTTGGGCATATAAATTGTTTGTGATTATGATTTTATTAATACATATTTGTTGTCAGCAAAATACTGTTGAATACCAACGTCACCAATTTGTTATTTGCTACGTTGTGGATGCAAAATCATTTTTTTTTTTTTTGCATTTGTAGAAACTATAGTTCAAAAGTGTAAATGGCATAATTGTGGACCAGATAAGCAGAGTCTTCTCCAAAAATTTCTATATTATCCCGGGATTTTATCTCTGCAGAACTAGTCTAAATGACATAAGTAATTATGTACTTAAAATCAAACGAGAAAAAGTGGAGCTCTCACTAAATCCTCCTCAAGCATTTTTTAATCTTTGAATGGAGATTAAAAAGAAAATAGATTCAATTCTATTTCATTTTGATTTGATTGAAGATGATCTGCTATTGACTGGACTGGTTTAGGTATATTCAACTGAGTTTGAAAGATTTCCTCATTTTCATCCGATACTTATTCTCGACTATTCGGTGATAGATGCTTGTTTGAAACAGATATTTCTTTCCCATTTTTCAGTCTGACAAACGAATAATGCGGATTTGATTCTTAGTCCTATAGCAGTTAACAACAATTTTGGCCAAAACCCTGCAAATTGTGTTAAAAGCATGAAATTTGGTAGGCACGTTAATTAGGTCAAATTAAGAGATTTTGCCCGCAGTACCCAAAAAAATACCCCTATGGAGCAGCTCAGGGGCAGAGTATACTCTAAGGGGGTTGAATTTGCAAATAAATTAAATAATAACCAATGCGGGCGAGTAATATGTCATTTTATATTGATCTGATATCGCTGAAGTCAATTTAAACCATTTTTTTTTTTTAACTTTGATTATTTTCATAATGGCGGCCAAATTTCCAATTTTCTAGCAAATTTTTGCTAAATTCGCTAATATTAAGAAATCTGTAAAATATGGGATTTTTTTATTTAAATTGCAATTTCATATGATATTTTTTGGCATCCTGAGCACCCTGAAAAATACCTACTTCATAGGAGCAGCTCAGGGGCGTATAGTTTATCTAGGGGGATCAAATTTTAAAAATAATCAAATAAATTGAGAGATGCACCAATATATTCATTTTTGACCCAATTTTCAATCTGTTTATAAAAATTGACCAAAAACTACAATAAATAAACAAAAACAACAAAATTGTATCGCTTTTCTGGAAACTCTGGACTGTATCGCAAAACCACCGGGAGTAATGCGTATCGTAACCGGATCGTAAAAGTTGACGCTGTATATACCTATACGCACCTTATAATGTGTTGTCTGTCGTTTTGTTCCAAATACCGCTTCTGGACTGTGTTGTTATTCTTGGCGCGGAAAATACGCTGGTTTTTTGAGAAAATACATTGTCATTTTCTATTATTATTGTGCTAGTGCATTTTCTTCATTTAAATCGGTAAGTACACATTTTTTGTTTTGTTATGGTTGATAAAATTATTCGTAGTTTGTTGTTTTTATACCTATTCAGTATCGCATCTGCCGATCATTTCCATTTTAAAGCTGTGTCGAACATCAACATTTTTACAAGAAATAAAAAACTGACAAATGTTATTTAGAGAGTTCTTTGCTGGAAGTATAGCTTCTTGTCTAACAAGGTATTTACAGTTTTTGAGGGTCAAAGGCGTAATAATGGTAAAACCTAAATTGGTGTTGGCGACACCTGTTCCATTAGAACAGCAGACTGTTAATTGGGATTATTGCTGCTTGTGCCAGAAGAAAAATGGACATTTAGTTTGTCCTGCGAACAATTCTGTGGCTTCAATGCGCCACACGGGTTATGATTCTTTGGGAATCAATTTAGAAAAACTTTGATCATACAAATATAAATTAGACGCTGGCTACTTCGTTGACATTTTGGTTGATGGTAATGGAATTGCGAACACAATGCGACTCAAGAAAGCTAGATGGCACAAAACTTGCAATTTAAAAATTTTTTCTTCCAAATTTGAAAAACTGTTGGCAGATATATCAGAAAGCTTTAACAAAGCTCCAAGCTTTGAAGAAAAAAAATCCGAAAGTAAAACCGAACGAAAAGAAACCAGATTAACTGCCCCTCTGCTGAATCTTATGAAAGACATATGTTTTTTGTGTGGTTTGTGGAGATCGTAAAAATCCTCTTCACCTATGTCAAACTGACGATGTTTTTGCCAATATAACTGAATGCGTCAAGCAGTTACAGGATCTTAAGCTGTCAGCTTTGTTAGCCGGAGGCGATCTTGCAGCTTGCAGCCAAAGAGGGTAAATATCACACATCTTGTCTATCTCAGCTATATTACAAATGTAAACGACAGCCAAAGACAGGTTGATAAATCAAGATCATATCATATGCGAAGGGCTGGCATTTGCTGATTTGCTGGTTTATATTCGAAATAGGCTTGCTGAATCCCTAAATGTGGTTTCCAAAATGTCAGATGTATGCAAAATGTACGATTATCGTCTTCGTCAACTTCTCGGGGTTGCGGAGGATTATAACTTTCAAACTCATAGCACAAAATTGAGACAACAATTTTTAAATCATTTTCAAGATCTTAAAGCCGAGCTTTCGGGTAGAGATTACTTTCTAAAACACGTTGAGGCCTCAGAGCTAACTATGTTAGACAAATAAGATCAAGATGAAGATGCACTAGCATTTTTGCATTTTGCAAAGCGCCTACGTAGAACAATTTCAGAAACCTATTCAACTTTTTCTGGATCATTTTCTAAGGAATCGCAAGAATCTTCTATACCAGGGATATTGCTAGCCACTATAAATACATCGTGTTATGGTTCCCCAATTCAAGCTGATTCTTCAGCTACGCAGCCTGTCCTTTCAATATGTCAGATGATTATGTTTAACTTCAAACAAAAATTAACAAATTTATAAGAAATAATACAAATCACGAACAGGGGGGGTTCGTTTTGTATATTGGCCTATCCATATGCGCACAAGGTCGCGATAGGGCAAGAATAGATAATTTCCATAAAAGAGAATTAAGCGTCTCTTCCAACAGAGTTATGGAAATAACATCTCAACTTTGTCGATTAACGGTTCAACAAGCGCAAGACAAAAACGTTTTATGTCCAGGAAATTTAAAACATAATATATTTACTGTATCTGCACTAGATAATATCGATTACAACCCAAGTAGCTCAACCAGTAAGGGTTCTGGATTTCATGGAACTGAGATATCACTATTCAACTTCCAATAAAGGAAAATGAAGGTGTTGATCAAAAATTTAATACATTTTATGAAGGAGTTCGATCTGATCCTGCACTCCCCGATTTTTATTCAAATTTACCGGACTGCATACTTCCATCATCCAAAGGACAAGCCGCTACCTCAGAAGCCAATGTCTTAAAAATGGTGCGGCCTTTAGGTATAATTTCTTAAGAAAACGTGTATAGTTTTTTACTTTTCCGTAATTGATTTAGGCCTTGAAAATTGTTACTGGAGGCATGAAGCAAACTGGTTAACCAATGTAAGAAACATTATCAACGACGAACGTGGTAGCGTTTATCTCACTGCATCCTGGGCAGCGTTCCATGCACAAGAAAATCCCAATCAACATCCTATAGCTATTAATGGTATGTTAGCTCTGTTTCATGAAAAATCAACTAGTCCTGCTATGATTAAGCATGGAATGACAATAGTGCGGGATATATTTAGTTAAGTAGGTACTTAAACACCAATCAAACACCAGTAATGTATTTCGACCAGCCACTTTTCACAATTTGTAAGTTAATCCAGTGGCAATGGCCCAAAGAATTTGGTGAAGACAAGCTCGTTGCAATGATGGGTCCATTACATATAGAGCAGGTGATCTTGAAAATATTAGGTCAATTTGTAGATGGAAGTGGTTGGGCTAATATTGTATCTAATTCTAGTATCCGGTCTAATAGTTTTGCTGAGGCGGTAATGAAGGTTTGTGTTCGTTATTGCTTTACAAGCAATATGTATTTTTTTAAAAGTCTTTCACATACAGGTTACACATATAACGAAAGCTCGATCATTACATCAAATCACAGCAGCTACTTTGTACATACTACTTATGGAAGCATATGATTCAGAGAACTCTAATCAAGCTACTTCAATATCTGAATGGGTGGATGAGAAGTCCAAAAGTTCTTCCACTTTTGAATATTGGATTCTTTTGCTAAATTTGGAAATTTTATTGCTCTGCTTTGTTCGGTCTATACGATTAGGGGATTACGTTTTATTTAAGGATAGCTTGAGAGAAGCGCTACCGTGGATATTTATCTTTAACCATTCAAACTATGCAAGGTGGTTGACAATTCATTTACGTGACCTTGAGGAACTACCCACGAAAGCTCCTGATGTATTTAAAGAATTTAGTTCAGGTGAGAACTAACAATTTTTTATAAACCTTTTCTACTTATTTAATTTCAGGAAACTTTGTGGTGCGAAAAACTTCTAACCCATTTTCAGCTCTCGGAGTGGATCATGCTCATGAACAAAATAACGCCCGAGTAAAAGGTAAAGGAGGCGCAGTTGGTCTTACAGAAGACCCTTCATCCCTACGTCGCTTTACAATTGGAGGCCCAGAAGTAGCATGACTTATAACTGAATTTGAAGGGGAATGTGAAGATTCTGATCATTTACCAGTTCACCACGAACAGTACCGCAGCTTTCAACAATGGTTTATTTCAGATTGTGCTGCTCTTAAAGAAAGCTTCCTACAGCATGAGAATCCTTATCTTATTAACGGTAAAGATCTTCTAGCAATTGACAGTTTGCAAGTCGTTTCTGAAGAAGGAACTGATTGTTTATACTCTTTGGAAAAATGAGGTCAAGACATGGCAAACGATTTTATACAAGAAAGAATTCTAACAAACATAAAAAGCATTCATGATCTGATTAAAAAGAACAATGTAAAATTTTTTACATTTAATAAAAATGACAAAATAAAGAGCGTAATAACAAACTCTTTAAAAACCGATCTACAATTCTTCTCGAGACTTTTTATTATAAGCACTGCCCGTGACCTGGACTTAAAAGAGTTTTTTCGTCATGAAAATCAGATCTGTCCACCTTCGTTATCATCAAACGGTCAGATTAAACCTGGCAATAAAGCAGATTTGGTCAGTATTCTAGAGAAATTGCAAGTGCAGGTTGAAATTCCTGAGACAACTAATGCTGTTATATTTGATGGGGCAGCTATTGTCCACCTTTTAAAACTAGCAACTAATACTCATAACATTCACGAATATTGTGTTCAACAGCTTAAACGACATATTTTATCTATTGTTCAAAATCTTAATCAAGAATTGATATGGTATGGGATCTTTATTCTGACCAAAGTCTTAAAGGCACAACACGCGATCGAAGAGGAGTAGGGATTCGACAAAAGGATCTTCCCAGAAAAGGTAATATATTTGCATTGAATCCACGGGGTATCTATAGGTATATTTTCTTCTCTGATAATAATTTTTTGCTTACAGGTTTGATGCCTAAGAATTGGGATGAATATTTAAAAAATTCTCAAAATAAAGAAGACCTCTTTTCGTACTTAGCTTCTGTACTAATTGAAGAGGTAACGGAACTCCATTTGGTAACTAATGTAAATTTGAAAATTGTCTCCAATCGTAACAAATGCAGAAGTCTTGAAGGTGTGGACTGTTCAGGAATGGAAGAAGCAGACAGTAGAATATTTTTGCACTTAAAGGATGTGATAGGTCACGGTGGTTTTTCAACTGTCATTCGTTGTTCCGATACAGATATCTTGATAATTGCGATATCATTCTTCCATTTATTCCAGAGCCAAGGTCTTAAAGAGTTGTGGATTCAGTTTAGTGTTGGTTGTAAAAGACGTTATATTGCTGTTCACGCAATGGGCTCTTTCACTAATTTTTGAAATTGGCATATTTCGAGAAAGCAACTAAAAACAGAATTTTCTGTATTTTTACTTTTGAAAAATTCATAGTCCTTCTTGAGAAAACAGAAAAAAAAGAAATACCTCCAAATAAAAACCCAGAATTTATTTCTATGACGTCGCAGCTCGCAATTTGGCCGTGTTGCCACTAATTGTCAACATTGAAAATTTGTAATAGATTTAATTCTGAAATGTTCGCCAAATATCATGAAAAGTAGTTGAATTAATTAGTTATGGATTCAAGATTTTATAACATTTTTATTGAAATTATGCTTAAACACAATTTAATATAATTTTTTATGTTTAGTTTTATTTATTTATTTTACGTTGCACTACATTTAGTCACCACCGACAACAGCGCATTCCAACCTTTACCTGCATTATTTTACTACAGGGTAAATACAGCCGAGGCGGTCAGCTCCTTGCAACAACAAGCGAAATGAAAAATATTTATGCGACGTCAGCAAATCGGCACGTTTTTAATTAATTTGAATTTTGCTAGTTTAAAATGCCTGTAAAAACTTATTTAACCTTTTAGAACTTTTTTTTTTGGTATATATGCCTAAAATAGTCCCTCCTTTGGGATTTTATACTTAAATTACGTATTTAAATTTTAGTGAAAGAGCCCATTGCCAAAGTTCTCGGACCTGAGAAATCGAAAGCACTCCCAGCGCTTTAAGGCAGCACATTTTAAGAGCAGCTTACCAAGCTGGCCATATATGGGGGCAAGCAAATACTGCTACAAACCAATTTCCATCTCCTTTAAGTTGGGGCTGGTCAAAAACAGATTCAACGCTAGCACCGTTGTGGTCTGAGTTGCCCCCTGTCTGGTCTGCTTTAAGAGAACTTGACAGGTGTGGATGCAAACAGGGATGCGAGAGCATGCGTTGTTGTTGTAGACGATATGGGCTGTCATGTACTCCAGCATGTAAAAAATGCAAAGGAGAATGCTGTAACTCTAACAAGATGTAAGTTTGTCCATTTAATAATTTTTTGTGTTAAGTTTTATTAATTATTTTAGGGTCGAAGAAGCACCAGAATCATAAGAAACCTATAATTTCACTATTCTTTCATCTTGAATAAATATCAAAAATAAAATGATCCTTGGTTCGTCCATCCATATTCAACAAGGTATTCCGTGAATGAATTTTACTTCCGAAAATGGCAACCATTATGAAATTTTTGAATGATTGGTGCATCTCCCAATTTATTTAATTATTTTTTAAATTTTTTCCCCCTAAATATGCTACGCCCCTGAGCTGCTCTTATGTAGTATTTTTCAGGGTACTCAAAATGTCAAAAAATATCATAAGAAATTGCAATTTAAATAAAAAATTCCCATGTTTTACAATTTTCTTAATACATATAAGCGAATTTAGCAAAATTTTGCTTCAAAATTGGAAATTTGGCCGCCATTTTGAAAATTTGATAGTTATAAAAAAAATATGGTTTAAATTGACTTTAGCGATATCAAATCAATATAAAATGACATATTACTCGTCCGCATTGGTTTATTTTAATTTATTTGCAAATTCAACCCCCTTAAGAGTAATAGTCTGCCCCTGAGCTGCTCCATCGGGGTATTTTTTTGGGTACTGCAGTCAAAATCTCTTATTTTGACCTATTTAAGGTGCCTACCAAGTTTCATGCTTTTAACACAATTTACAGGGTTTTTTTGTAAACCGCTAGGACTATCTATCAGCTCAACTTCCTTAACTAAATGGTCATATTTGCTTGTGCGAATATTCTTCTTAATCAAAATTTTTCCCGGAGAAGTCTGCCAAGATGGCAATGAGTCGCCCGTAGTAGATTTTCTATTATGATGAAACATTCTTTCATGTAAAGTGACATTTGTTGCTATGCAGAGGAGAGATCTGATGCAATGTAATGATTCATCCAGAACAGATTCCCATCTGGACACATTCAAATTTTGGGATTTCAGCGCTATTCGAACTGTTCTCCAAATCATACCATTCTCTCTCTCTATTTGCTCATTTCTTTCTGGATTGTAACTGGTAGCTATTCCTCGCTCTTGCAAAAAGTTCTTCAATTCTGAAGACATGAAAGCAGATCCACGATTTGATTGTATAAAATTTGGCATTCCAAATAGTTGAAAAATACTTGTCAAGTGCTTCTTAACGGAAGCTGCTGAAACATCAGGGCAGGGAAAAGCAAAAGGAAATCGGGAGTATTCATCGATTATAGTGAGTATAAATTTATTGTTTGTCGAACTTGGTAATGGTCCTTTAAAATCCATGGATAATCTTTCAAATAAAACAGGCACTCTTTGAATTACCCTGATCGTCCTGTAGTTCATACGACCAAGATCCACATTTACGCTTTATAGAAAACGGACCAACATACTGTGGTGCCAACTTTGCAGTAATGTAATTAGCAGCATCAGAAAGGATTTTGTTCTTTCGCCAAACTTTATCGCCTGGACTAAAAGTTACAGGGCGCCGACGAAGGTTGTACCTATTAGCGTTCTGGGCTCTTGCAGACTTAATTCTGCTCTCGATTTGTTTGTACAGTTTCACAAAACCTTCCTGTCGAGTTTGCAGATGAGTGTCTTAGTTGGGTGGTACATGTGACCTTTTGATGAAATAGTCATTGCCATACAAACAATGTTCCCTTCCAAACAAAACAAAATACGGACTATACCCAGTAACTTCGCTCGGCGAGGTACGAATAGCGCAGCCAATCTCTTGAAGATGTTCGTCCCAGGATCTTTGATCTTCTTGACGGACATAGGTAAAGTCCGTTTTTTTTTTAAAGATAATTCCCCAAGTCAAAAATTTAGTAACTATGTTGGCACCACAAGCCTTTTATACATAAAAAATTTAAAAGCATTGACAATTTTACATTGTATTGCCAACATAATGTCACTTTGACTTTTATCTTTAAATAAAAAACAGATTTTACGTAACATGGAATTAATTACACGATTGTGCCGTTCGGTGGGATTCGCACGAGGATTGTAATTGGCTGTATAGAAAATTTGGGTCCCGTATCGTTAACATAAAGCCTGGAATTCTTTGCATTTCATCTGAACGCCGTTATCACAGGTCAGAAATTTGGGTGCACCATAAAGGAGGAAGAAATTTTCAACGTGTTCCACCAGAGACTTAACCTTAGCGGCTCGACATGGGTATAAGAAAACTGATTCGCTAAAGCAGTCCGAAATCATAAGATAGACTTTGGTAACAATGTCCCTTCTTGGAACGGGGCATAGTACCTATACAGTCAAGGCTAATAGATTGGAATGGTTCAGTGATTTCGGGTCGATCACCCATTAAACCCACTGGAGGTTTTTGCTCTACCTTGTTCCGAGCACAAGAAATACAAGATTTTAGATAACGGGACGGGACACATCAGCCTTCATTTTTGGCCAGTAGTAATTCTGGAGAATTCTACCAAAAGTCTTATAAGCACCTACATGAACTGAGGTTGAAACGTCATGACAACGCTGGTCCTTAGGGACTACAACTTTCCAATCATGTGAAGGAGAAGACAATCCAGGAATGGAAGGTTTCATAAATTTATAAAGATTGCCATTTTGAGTACCCCATAGAGGAAACTTTAGGGGTTTGTCCTCGACCTTTTGAAGCATTCCCAAAAACCATTTGTCACTTGTTGATGTAGGGGTGTAAGATGGAGGAGTAAAATTGAAAACTGAATCAACAGCCATAGGTACCGCTCGAGAAAGAAAATCGGGAACTATATGGTCTTTACCTTTCCGTTGGATAAGTTCAAAATCGAACTGTTGGAGATGAAATTGCCAACGTGCAAGACGCACTTGTGGATCCTTTAAACGATGAAGCCATAACAAGGATGCGTGATCAGTGATAACGATAAAATGGATGTGATCTACATAATGACGCACTCCACAGCCCAAATGACAGCAAGACATTCCTTCTCTGTGACAGTCAGTTTCATCTCTTGCCTGGTTAAAGACCTTGACAGATAGCAAACAACCTTTTCACCCTCCTCGTGTTGTTGAGTTAAAACAGCCCCCAGCCCATAGTTAGAGGCATCGGTTTGTGAATAAAACATCCTGTCGAAATCAGGTGCAGTTAGAATTGGAGCAGTGACTTAACAGTCTTTGAGTAATGTGGAAGATTTCTGGCAATCTGAAGTCCAGGTGAATTTAACGTTCTTTTTAGTTAAATTAAGAATGGGTGCTAACACCGAAAAAAATTCTGTGACAAAACGCGATACCAGGAAGCAGTTCCCACAAAACTGCATTGATGTTTTTTGGTGGTGGAATGTTGACTATAGCCTCAACCTTTTTTGGATCAGGGCGTAAACCTTTCTTATCAACCAGATAGCTCAAGTATTTTAATTCTGGCTTGCGGAAGTGATGTATCTTTAACAAAATAATGAGTCCGGCCTGACGCGAGCGGTCGAATACAACCTCCAAAAGTCGCAAATGTACTGAAAAGGAGTTAGAAATTATCACCACGTCATCAATGTAGCACATGACATTTGGTTCGAGTTCTGGACCAAGGATAGTGTCAATGATTCTTTGCCAGGTTGCAGGAGCATTAGATAAGCCAAATGGCATCCGACAGAATTGGAAGAGTCCTCTGCCAGGGACAGTAAATGCAGTGTACTCCTTGGAAGATGTACTCAAAGGGACCTGCCAAAATGCTGACTTAATTTCAATGGAACTGATATATCGAGTCTCTCTTAACCGATCTAAAATGGTTGAAATATATGGAAGAGGATATGCGTCCTTTTTTGTATATTTACTGACCTGTCTAAAATCGATGCAAAATCTTAAGGATCCATCCTTTTTCCGAG